TTAACACTTTTATAGTGGACCAAATACTCTGCTGATGGCTGTGTCTTAATTTACAGAGAGAAGAATTCCCAAGCATCCAAGGTGTTTATTACCACTGACCTCTGCGGGCAGAAGTTCCTGTGCTTTTTAGTGGAATCCCAGCTCCAGCTGCGGTGAGCATTCCCATGCTTATCCAGGGGACAGCTGGACAAAGGGGAGCACTCTAAAATTACTAGCTAGATTTGGGCTTTAACATGCTAGTGGAATCTATAATGATAGTGGGAGATATCTGACTGTTGTAAGATGTATTTATAACCACATTAGCAATTAGACATCTTGGACTGAAATTGCAAGACAGCATTTGCTGTACTTTGAATGGTATTTCTATTTATCATCAACTTTACCCTCTGGAAGTGCACTGCAGAGTAAAAATAAGTTGATTAGCAGGGCAAAACAAGCAAAGAAGGGAGGAAGTAATGACGTAAACTGCAATAAAGTAACTGCAACATGCAGTACAACTTTAATTTTCTATCTTTTCTCTATAAGACTAGATAAAGTCCTTTTATATATCTCCTCTTGTTTTCTCAAATCTTTAGCTGTGTAAAATTTCAAGAGAGTAACGATAAGTCACAGTTGATCTTTGGTTCTGTCACCAATATTCAAGCAAAGGATGCAGCTCCAGTGCAGGTATGTACACCTGTATGGACTATGTTTGTGGAGTACCTTTCTACTTTGTCACTTTTGTCATCTAATTGTCTCATTTTTACTTAAACACAAGGACCTGAATATGCTGTTTGATTATTACAGGGCATTGATACATTGCTGGTTCTGGAAGGCAGTGGAAATCTAGTGCTTTATTCTGGAGTGGTTCGGGTGAGTAACGGAATATACCCACAATTTTTCTCTCCCAAAATGAATGTTTGAATTTTTGCTTACAAGCTTAGCAGTGCAGCAGGGTGCTGGGTGCATCATATCCCATGAGGTTTCATTTTAAGCTACTGTAGAATGCTTCTCACTTGAGACTTGACTTAGCAAGGTGAACGTGCCATTGTATCAAGTGCAATTTGTGTGCAGTGCTGGAAACATAGTTCTGAAGAATCGTTGGCACCTTGTGGTACAATTAAATAATTCCTTGAGCTTATTTGAAGATAATGAAGGGGGGTTTGTTTTGTTTTTGAAAGGAAAATTTCAAGGACACTGAAAGTAAGATTATCTCCTAAACTAAAAGCTTTCAGGCTTCACTGTAGCAGGCCATAGAGTTTTAGATGTCAAATTTGCTTTATGAAGGGTTGTTATTAAGGTGGGCACAACTAATTCAAAATAACGAAAATAGTTTGCTTTAATTGTGGAGAGATGTGCTGTGCTCTTTGTGTATATACAGAAACCTCAGACCCTGGAATTTCTACTTTTTGTTAGTTGTTATTTACTCTTTGAAAGTAGAGCTTTCTCAGTGAAACCCTGCCTGAACTCTTAGTGATCGTAGGCCTGTAACAGTAATGTGCAATACTGACTTATATTGTACTTTTTCAGTGTGTTGTCATCTTAAGAAGTAAACTGGGAAATCCCTAATCTCAGTTACTAAACTTCAGTTTCAGTATATAGCCACTTTTCTTAAAACATTTCCTTTAAGATATTCAGAACAGAGTCCATATCTGTAAGCAAGCTATTTGAAAAACGCATGAAGACCAACTCTTATCTTTTCCTATATGTTCTACACCAAAAGGTGGGGAAGGTTTTTATTCCTGGACTGCCTGTTCCATCCCTGTCGATGTCCAACCAAATGCCTCGACCAAGCACCCCTTTGGATAGTATCAGCACTCCATCCAAGCCTTTGAGTAAACATCTGGGGCCTTTAGAAGAGGTGAGGAAAGAAAATCCTTTTTGAAAAGCGTTTCATTTTGGGTAACGGCTTTGATGCAACTTGCTAAGGAAGGAGCAGAAGGT